GACTAAAAGTTTTCTGCCTTGTTAGGCTTCTCCTTTGCTTTTCCTTTGTCTGGAAGGGGCAGGCTCTTGTTGGGGCTTGTGTGAGGCCGCTCTTCCGTTGCTCTAAAGGAATATCTGCAGCTGGATAATTTATGAAGAAGAGTTTAATCGGCTCGCAGTTCCGAAGGCTGAGTGGGAAGCATGACACTGACATCTGCTCGCTCCCGAGGCAGCCTCAGGAAGCTTCCAAGGGTGGCGGGAGGCAAACAGTGAGTCCATCTCGCATGGTGGGCATGGGAACAAGACAGAGCGCGTGACGGGGAGGTGACACACACATTTAAGCAACCAGATCTCGAGAGAACTCACTCACTATCATGAAGGCAGCCCCAAGGGGATGGCGGGACACCATTCATAAGATACATTCTGTCCCTATGACCCAGTCACCTCCCTCCATCAGGCCCCACCTCCAATGTTGGGGATTACATCTCAACACGACATTTGGCAGGGACACAAATCCAAACCGTATCAGGACTTTTTGTCTATTTTCCATCCGTGTTCATTGGTGTTTCTGGGTTACTGGCTTATTTAGCACCAAGTCTGGAATTCACAAGGCAAAAGGAAACCAGGCAACCCACCATCATCTTGTTTCTTGGGTTCTGAGGTCCCAAGCCAGTGCACCTTCTTCTTTTCACCTTTCAGAAGTGAAATTCTTGGTCTGGTGTATTTCTAGCAGTTCTCTAAGTAATGCTGATTTCACCAAAGTTTGAGGACTAACTGAATTTGCATCCGAGTCCCACGTTCCCCGGGGCGAGGCCTGAGTCTCCTGCGTGCACAACGCAACCCCTGAGCCGAGCACAGGTGGTCCTGGACGGTCCTCACAAAGGTCCCCCAAGCCTTTGTGGGCCTCCCAAGCAGCCTTGCGCATGCTCACTGCTGCAGGCGTTCAGCTACTAACTCACCCACTCCTTGGGCCTCTCCTGGGGAGCTTGTCCTTCTTTCCTCAAGCAAGAGCTCAGTCTCTCCCCTGAGGCCTCCAGAAGGTTCTTGACAGCTCTGCATCAAATGCACAGCAGAGAAGCCCCTTTCTACTTCTCCCCCAAAAGCCAGCCCCCACCCCTCAGGCAGGCCTACTCCGTAGGCCCCAGCCTTCAGCCCAGTACCCCTTCTGTCTTCCGGTCCTTTTGGTGCCTGTCCACTACCCACCTTTCCTGATAGAGGGAAGATGGGCCAGCACAGAGAAGGCACAGCACTGCCCAGGCTTGGCCATTCGGCAAGCTCTGAGGAGGGAAGTGACTGCTCCATGGGTTGTCTCTGTCCCAGGCTTTTAGTGAGTACGCCCTCACTGAATCTCCAACTCTTCAAAGATAGGGCTCAATAGTGCTGATTAACAGAGGAGGAAATGGGAGTTCAGAGAGGTTCAGTCACCTGCCGAGGTCACACAGCTGATGAGTGGCAGGGCTAGGACCAGGAGCCAGATGGCCTGACTCTGGAGCCCAGGCTCTTCCATGAATGAAATGTCCCAGACGTGCTCTTCCCTTAGGGATCCCAAGCCTCACCGAGGGTCTGAGTGTCAGTCTGGAGACCATTATCAGACCTCAAGTCACAGCACAGGCGCCCATCTGACCTAAGGCCTCTTCATGGTAACCCTCTTTCTGGCCCATTTGGGCAGCAGATGAATACAGTAACTTGAAACGGAGAGGCAAGAAACCGGCTGACATCAGATTTTCTGAGGGGCTTATGGGTTTCCTTTTTCCCCGCATTTGAAAAGCCGAGTTGGGTTCAGGGTTGGAACCACCCTTTCCTCTACAACGCGATTAAGCTGCTTCAGAGAAAAATGGCTTTGTTTGACCCTTGGATACCATTTCTGAGAAATGATGGCAGCAGATAATGTACATTCAGCAGACCTCCCGTCTCTGGTGGCTGGCTGGCTTTGGATGTGGGCCAAGAAATGGTGTGTCATTGGTTTCCAGGCCAAGCTGGTCCCAGCTGCTCTGGATGAAGGCGTTAGGTAGGTGGGATTCTTAGGACTTGATTTAGTACCCGCTGAGTTGTTTGTGTCTTCAGAATAAATAAATAAATAAATAAATAAACAAATGAATACATAAACAAGAAAGAGAAAGAGAAACATTCCCAGGATTTCAGTTATAGTCCTCAAGTTAATGATACTAACAATAATGAGTAAGCAGCTGTCACTGAGGCCCGCAGTGTGCCAGGCCACTCCAGTGCCTGTCTGCTGATCCTGTGAAGTAGGCACTGTTGTTGACCCGCCCATTTTACAGATATAAAAGTGAAGGTCAAGAGCAACTTCAAAGTAGCCCTGTTTTCACTAAATGCTTCCAAAAGTCGATTCTTCTCTTAGTGTGAACTGTGCACTCAGGAGAGTAGCTGGCACAGAGGCGAGCATGGCTAGGAATGCAAGAATGAATATGTATTTAGGAGGGAAGGAGTGAACTTGTTTCTTCTTGGTGACGAGCTTACATCTTTGACGTCATCTAGTTCAACTTCCCACTCAGTGGGAAAATCCTTTCTATAGCACCCCTGGTGGTGATCATCCACCTTGATTGCCTCCAGAGATGGGGAGCTCATTCCCTCCCAAGGCAGCCCTTTCTACCTTTGGACAGCTCTAATCCTCAGGAAGGACAAAGGCTTATTATTCTGAGCTGAGCTCTGCCTCTCCACGTTGGGTAACAACTGGCTGTCACTCTGCTCTTGGCTGTGGTCAAGCTTCTCTCACTTCTGTAGATTTGCCCTAAAAATCAAAAGAGGCCTGCTTCTCCTCCACCAGATTTTCCGTTTTGGGGAATGAGTGAAGGCTGGCCAGAGAGGTGAGGGCCTGAGACCTGGACACAGAGCGGGTATTTGAAGGAAGGGGCTTCAAATATGTATATGTATGTTCAGCCTAAAGAAGCCAAGTGAGGGGACATGATTCAGCTATTTTTAAGACATTGAAGATGCAAAAGAACAAATAGCAACAGAAATAACAACAAATAGTCATGTACTGTGGTGCTGGGCGCTGGGCTGAAAGCTGTCCTTGTATCATCTCATTTGAACCCCACGACAACCCTGTGGGGTGACTGTCAAACTCCCTACCTTATAGACAGAGGAGCTGAAGCCTTGGAAGCTCAATGCCCCCGGCTGAGATGCAGACCCCAGGCGTTCTGGCTGGAGCCACCCCTGTGCCCCACACACCCTTGCTCTGCAGCTGACAGGTAGAAGCTGCAAGAAGACAGGCAAGTGTGTGCTTAACTGGAGGTCTTTCCAGAATGAGAAAGGGTGGGCAGGTGGAACCCTAGCTGCCTGGCAAGGAGGAGAGTGCCCAGGTGGCAGCGCAGTTGGGAAGGACCTGTGGTGTGGATGGCCTTTGGGCCACATGAATCCTGTTGGATCTGATGAAAATGGAATCGCTGAGGCAGCCTTCACGAGAAAAAGGAGCCTGGGGCATGGTCTGTGTGGCTGCTGTGGGGCGCGGTCTGTGTGGCTGCTGTGGGGCGCGGTCTGTGTGGCTGCTGTGGGGCGCGGTCTGTGTGGCTGCTGTGGGGCGTGGTCTGTGTGGCTGCTGTGGGGTGTGGTGGGGGTGGTGTTTGCCACGAGTCTCCAGGACAGGTGAGTTTCAACTGCAGCTGGAAACTCCTTCTGGTGCCTGCTTTGAGACCTCCTCTTTAGGTGTCCCCAGATGCTGGGATTCCCCAAAATGGCTGTCCTCGGGGAGTGGTGTTGACCTCGTTTCCAGGAGCCAGTTGTCAGAGGCCACGAAGGGGAAAAGGGTCAATGGGCATTTGGGGTAATGGGTAATTTGCTTGGGGACATCCAGGCCTCCCGTCTATGTCTACCCATATCCCAATCCCCTGCTGAGGACTCCTCACCCCTCCTTCCAACCACGGTGCCCTCGGAGTCCCCTGTCCATCCTTACTGCGGACAACCCCCAGGGAGGCAGTGCGTGGGCGCCTGGAGATGGAAAGGAAGCGTCAGACTGCGTGGTTGGTGAGGGCTGCCTGGCTTACAGGGAGAAGCCAGCCTGGTCCTGCCATTGGCAGGGCGCTGACAGCTCCCTAGGAGCAATGTGTCTGGGGCGGCAGCAGCAAACAGGAAGGGAATCCCAGAGCATGCAGGACCCAGCCCCTTCCCTGCCAGCTGCCCGGGGCAGCCACCACCCAGACCTCCCGTGCATCCACGCACACTGAGTAGAGGACACTGAGCCTTTCTGGGCTGAAGTTTTGTCCTCTCTGTGGCAGGGACCCCAGTGCCCAGCATGCAGAGTTCAAAACCTGGCACACAGCTTTGCTCTGCAAGTCAGAGTTGATTATCCCCCTAGAGAGCACGGTTAAGGGCATCTAAACTGGATTCATTCAAATCCTGACTCTACCCCTTCCTAGCTGGGGGAGTCCAAGTGCTGTGTGCCTCAGTTGCCGCCTCTGTATGATGGAGAGAAAACACTTATTAGCACATGGCCTGGCTTATAGTATGTTTGCAATAAATGGTTACTATGGTCATTGTGATTCCCATGACGTTTGCCCCTAACAACACCGCACCTTCAGCTGGAGGCCTGGGAAGCTTAATGGGAGAAGGGAAAGAGCAGGAAATGGGGACATGAAAGCAGGGTGGGGGATTCGAACACTGCAAATATTCATGGAGCTACTGATGTTTGCCAGGCACTTTCATAAATGTGTTATTTCATCTTTCCCAAACCCCGTGCAGCGGGCATCCTTTTGTCTCCATTTGTCATCCCTTTGTCTCAGTCAGGGCCCCGGGAAGGAAAGTCCTGTGATTTGGGGAGTTGAGAAGTTTGCCTTCATTCGGTCCTGCGAAGCCTCAGAGGACAGGCTGAGCTTGGTGCTGTCACCCTCTCTCCCTCCAGGTCACCTCCAGGTCACAGCGTGGCTGGGGCTTTTGGGCCTCCAGTTTTCTTCCTGCCGCGCAGGTTCAGGAAGAGCAGGCTCTGAGTCACTGGGGCCCTGGCTGGTGATGGGGGCCTGGACACGTGTCTAGTGCATTGCTGCCCTCCAGGGATGAAGCTAGTCTCAGGACGGTGCCCGGGCGGCTCTGTGGTTGGTCCACGCCTGCTCTGTCCGGCCACAGCTCTGGGCCTCTTTTACTGGCCTTCTTTGAGCTCTCCCTGGACTTTGGAGCGTCATGAGATTTTTCCATGCTTCTGGCTCTGTCGCTCACCAGCTGAACAGTGACTTGGTGTCAGGGTGGTAAAGCAAATAGGTGCCTTCCTGGGAATGGGCAAAGGCGGGGAGTCAGGGAAAGGGAGGCTAGAGGATAGACAGGACCTCCCAGTAGTGGCAAGAACAGTCTCAGCTCCTGCCTTCCTGGGACCCTTCTGCTGAGGTGCCCCGGGCTGAGGAGGAGGCTTCATGGGGGCCATTTCACAGGCCAAGAGGCTGAGTCACCTGCCTAAGGTTGGGCCTCTGGTGAGTGACAGGTTGCAGTTGGACCGGTCAGCGTGACCCGGGGCACGCAGTCTCACCACCTCACCACAGTGCTCTCTTCCCACACAGCACCCTGCCCAGAGGATGGTGGCTGGGCCAGGCGCTGCCCCCGCTGCCTCACGGGCCCCTTGGGGGTCGAAGATGGGCAGGGGTTTAGGCAGTCTCTTCTCCATCCTGTCCTCTCCCTAGATTTTCTCATGGTCGGATGGGGAAGGGGTAGCTCCTGGAGAGCATCTTATCTCTTGTTTGATGGATAGCCCAGAGAGGGAGAGTGGCTTGTCTGGGGCCACAGAGCAAACTGAGGCTAGGGTCGCCCCTCGGGAGTCCTGACTCCCAGGCACTCATGCACTTGTGGGGTGGGGACTGCACTCTGTTCCCTGCTTTCCGGGAAGATACCTTGTCGTGTAGTTGCGGGAGGAGACAGGCCAGCCTTGACCAGCCCAGCTCTATCCACTCAGCTGCTAAATATTCTGGGAATCCATAAAACTGACAGCCCACTGGTGGGGATGGTCGTGGCTCCCAAATGATCCCCCAACACGGCAGGGGCACCCAGGGTAGCCTCCAGTGCAGAAATCGTGCTCTGCCAATTCCTGTGTCTCCAGCTATGCCCCATCTGAAGAGTGAGGTGGTTAGATCAAGTCCCTGGTTTTCTTCCAGCCACCCCCTGCTGGAATGCCAGGAGCTCTCTTCTGTGCTGGGGGAAGCTGCCGCTGGCCTCAGCTTCCCCATCTGTGAGATCGGGCTCTGTGCCCGTTTTGTTGCACTCATCAAGAGACCCATGGGGGGGAAAGGGCTTGCAAGGAGGGCAGCTGAGGAAAGGCAGGAATTGTGAGAGCCCTTTGTCCCTTCCTGTAACAGCAGCAGGTGACCTGCCCACCAGCGGGGGCCTCCCATTCCGTTCCATTCCCTTTAAGTAAGCTCTCTCCCTGTGCAAGGGAGCAACCGACCTCAAAGGCCCGGCCCACAAAGGGGCCCCCGACATGGCTGGGAACAATGTGGCCTGTTTACCTGACAGATTGTCCGCTTTCTTTTCATCTCATAGGAAAAGAACTCCTGCGGGGAGCCGCTAATCCCAGAGTAAACAGATGACCTCGTGGTGCCTTTCTCCCGGAGGTGGGGTTCCTAGCACAGCACCCCAACTGTGCAAACAGACCCTGGAGGGCTCGGTGCGCCTGTGGGGGCGTGGCCGGGGACCTGGGCCTGGGGCCAGGAGGGGCCTTTCCCTCTTGCCAGCCCTCTTTCTTCCTTTGTGATTTCAATTGAATGGGGAGAAGCTCAAAGGCAGGGGCATGAAAGGTCAAAGCCAATTTGCAGGGCCAAGTGTGGGGGAGGAGAGAAGGGCTCAGACCAAGGGTTTTTTTTTTTTGGAGACCTGACCTTCACCTGGAAGCAACTCCTCCCCCTCCTGGGTCTTCTGTGGACACTGCCCTAGCAGAGCTGGCTTTGCATCCTGGCCGCCCCCCTTACTAGCTGTGTGACAGAGGCCAGCAAGTGCACCTTTCTGAGCCTCAGTTTCCTCACCTGGAAAGCAGGGATACAAGGACCCATCGGGCAGGACTGTTGTAAAATATTGTGGTGGGCTTTCCATAAGTGCTGGCTATTTATTATTAGGCAGGGAATGAGGCTGAGTCTTGAAGCTGGAGCCAAATGTCAGTGGCAGCCAAAGGAAGTGAGGACAGGTAGAGCTGGGACAAAGGCACTCAGATGTCAATGAATAGTCCCTGTCTGGGAGACTGAATAAAATAGCCTCTGAAGGAACATATTATTGTGGTGTGGTTATCTCTGGAAGGAAAACAGAATTCCCCCATTCCCAGCAGCATGACCTTGGGCAAACTATTTAACCTCTCGATCCTTCAGTTTCCTCATTTAGAAATGGGGATGAGAAGTCCTGTGTCAAAGGACTCTCATGAAGATGAACATAACGTGATGTATAGCAGACATTCAAACATTAGCTCTTACGGCTTTAGAAAGGGCAGGTTCTTTGTTCCCTGAAAGAGGCTGGGGGAGTCTGGTGGAGTCAAAGACACCGGAGCCCCGTCATAGCCTCCTTGGTCTGCTACTGATCAAGTGGGGTACGATGGGGCTGCAGGGAGCCAGTGGCGGGGGTGGCCTCATATAGGGTGTAGCCCTGAGCACCCAGCTGGCCCAAAGGCCTGAGCCTGTGACCCACCCTCTCCTGGCTGTATATTCTGGCCTGTTCCTTGGCTCTCCTGGGCATGCTTCTCTCATCCTAGCCCTCAGGATGTCCTTGATCTCCAGCCCCTATCTGGGGTAGAGAAGGTGAGAAATGCTTAGGCTAGTTTCGCTGCCTCTGGCTTCTTCAGCATCAGGCCCCTGACTCAAACATGTGGTGCATTCCTGGGCCCCTTGGCTTTCCCTCAGGGCGCAGCAAAGGGCCGTTTAAAGAGAAAGAAGAGAAGGTAAGTAGGGAGCATAATATTTGATGAGCACCTTAAAGCAAGTTCATGGGTATCCGATAGAAACGTTTGGGTTCACATAACAGGAAACTCAACTCATTGTGGCTTAAACAAAATTAGGTTTCTTTCTCTTTTTTTCTTTTTTTTTTTTTTTGAGAGGGAGTTTTGCTCTTGTTGCTCAGGTTGTAGTGCAATAGTGCGATCTTGGCTCACTGCAACCTCCGCCTCCCAGGTTCAAGTGATTTTCCTGCCTCAGCCTCCCAAGTAGCTGGAATAACAGGCATGCACCAGCATGCCTGGCTAATTTTGTATTTTTAGTAGAGATGGGATTTCTCTATGGTGGTCAGGTTGGTCTCCAACTCCCGACCTCAGGTGTTCCACTCACCCTGGCTTCTCAAGATTGCTGGGATTATGGAAGTGACCCACCGCGCCCCGCCTGGTTTATTTTTCTAACATCATAATTCTGAAAATGAGTGGTTGCTGGTCTTGGTCACCTGATGGTGATTCCAAGTACTAGGCTTTTCCCAGCTTTCTGTTCAGCGTCCTTAGCAAGGGGGTTTCTCTTTGCCTTGTGGTGGCAAGATGGCAGCCTCGGCTCCAAGGGAAAGTAGAGGGTCTCCCAGGAGCCCTCTGTTGATGTCTCATTGGCCAAAAGTGGGTCACATGGCCAACCCTGGCAGCAAAGGATGCTGGGAATGCAAATACTTGGATGCTCTTCTCCGGTGTCAATGGCAGGGACAGGCAAGCATGGGTGGGAGGCATGGGGACGAGGGACGGGAGTGGAGTCATCCAAGCAGCCACCTGCCAGAGAAGAGTACTGTAGTACTCACAGCCCAGTCTTACATATGGAAAGCGCCAAGGGCAGAGAAATGCTTACTCAATAGGCAGTTTGATTGATCTACTGAGACATTCTGGGCCAACACCAGAGATGCAGAGATAAAAGCAATTTTTTTGCCTTCCAGAGAGAGAAGGAGGGTAATAATAGTACTAATAACAATATAATAGCTAAAGTTCACTGAGTGTGTGCCACTTGCTGGGGGCTTATTGAGCACTTTCCAGACTTTATCTTGCCTCATGCCCACCCAACCCCAAGCATCAGGCACCATTTTAACTGTTGTGGAGAAACCGAGGCTCCTTGAGGCTCAGTGAGGGCTGCAGCACACAGGCCTGCCCCTCACGCTGCTTGAGGTGGTGTCTTTAAGAATCCAGGTATAAATCAGGCCATCGGGCAGCCTCCTTGCTAGGGACTGCATGGAGGTTTTCTGAAGGTGGGGAAACACAGAAGCTGCAATTAGAATTTCCCAGTCAAGGAGGGAAAGGTGCCTTGCATGAGAAAAGACACCTGGAAGGACACGTTATCAGTGACCTACTAAAATCTGAGGCATCCCTAGCGTCTCTCTACTCACAACTCACGCCGTAACAGGAATTTGTGTATTTAAAGGGAGTGTTGGAAACAAAATACTTGTAAGATCAGTGAGTGACATGAAAGCAAATGTTTTGAAAATAAAGTTCTTTAGATTACAAAATGCTCAAAGATGGAAAAAACAAAATATCCTAACATTTGATGCTGGTGATAGTGTGGTGAAATAGACAGCATTTGCTGATGGGAGGATAAATTGGTATAAATCTTCAGAAAAGCAACTTGAAGAGCATTCTTTAAAATGTGCTGATCTCTTGGTTTTACTCCTGGCAATATACCCTAAAGAAATGATAAATAAAATTAGACAGTTTTTCCTGTGCACGGCAGATGATTTATTGAAATATGAATTTGTGGAGTTTTCCCTTTGTATTTTTCCAATCATTGTCCCATATACGTAGCCAGACTCTTTCTGTTCCCTAGTCTCAGGAGCATTTGCCGAAATCTGTCTGAATCACTTGCAGGAAGCATCTTTTCCTGTCCTTTGTGAAAGAAGGTCAAAAAAGAAAACATCAGATGCTGGGCGCGGTGGCTCACGCCTGTAATCCCAGCACTTTGGGAGGCTGAGGCAGGAGGATCATGAGGTCAGAAGTTTGAGACCAGCCTGACCAACATGGTGAAACCCCGTCTCTACTAAAAATGCAAAAAATTAGCCGGGTGTGGTGGCATGCACCTGTAATCCCAGCTACTCGGGATGCTGAGGCAAGAGAATCGCTTGAATATGGGAGGCGGAGGTTGCAGTGAGCCGAGACGGTGCCATTGCACTCTAGCCTGGGCAACAAGAGCTAAACTCTGTCTCAAAAAAAAAGAAAAAAAGAAAACACCCAAAAAAGATGGATGGGAAGGAAAAGGGAAGAAGGAAGGTTTCTACCATCTGAGAAGAAACCCCAAGTCCCAGAGGCCTGACCGAAGCCCTTTCCACAGCAGTGGGTGGTGTGTGGCATGGTTCTCCAAAAGTTGATGTGTGTCCTGGGAAGCTGGAGTCAAAACACAGTCACACTCCAGCATTCAGAGCCGTCAACCTGGCCCCAGACCCTGGGCATCAAGGAGCATGCTAGCTGGGAGAACAGGGACCTCTGCGGAACCCTGCCTGGTGCCTACCAAACTGTACAGGTTTTTTGCATGGCCTCAGAACCAGGGAGCCCTGAAAATAACTAAGGTTTTTTTTTTTTTTTTTTCTGGCCAGGCTTCAAGTGGGATTTAAATAAAACTTTGAATGTGACATTTTCACATATCCACATTCATGAGACAAAAACATCTCCAAAGACAATTGAGTGTAGAGTTATTATCTTATTTGATTTTTCAGCTAGTAGTTCGATATTTTCCATAGGAAGATACCGAAGTCTCCTGCCCCGAACTCCAGGCACATACCTCATTGCACCAACCTGGCCAGAAGAGTTATTCTCTATATTTAGTACCTCACCGTTCTTCGAGGTTCTTGGGTCCCATAGACTTCTCAGGGCATTATCTTGCTTACCTCTGTGTCCCCAGGGCTTTGCACAATGCCTGGCAAACACTATGGGAATGAATGAGAAAATGAACAAGTACGTGAATGAATGAATGAATGAACGAATGGGTGTCTGGTGTCTGAGATAAAGAGCCTGGTGAGATCTGTTCCTGTTGTCTCCACACAGACGTTCCTGGCAGCCCTGAGGGCTGTGCACACGGGCCAGGCCGGTGCAGTTAACTGCAAACACGCTCAGGAAGTGTAAACAGCCCTCCTCTGGGCCAGGACGACTGGCAGACTCACGGGCAGCTTGCACAATCCTGTGTGCTGCTATGACACTCATTTTTGGGGCATGGAGTCATCTCTGCCATGGGCCTCCCCCTCCTTGCCCTGGATCGTCTTGGTAACACAGATGGTACTGCGTGCGTGTCTGTTGTCAGTGGGAAGAAATTCAGACCCCCAGCCCTACCATGAAGCTCATTCTGATTTAGAGCTGCCCAAGGACCCGAGGAGGCTGGAGCTGAAAGGGAGCCTGGGGATTACCTAGCCCAGCCTCTTCATTTTCTAGGTGAAGGACCTGAGACCTAAAGAGGTGGGGACACTAAGGCCATGTAAGTGTGTCAAAGCTTGGCACAGAGCTGGGTGTCCTCGGATGGTAGCTGGTTTCAGAACCAGCCAAACAAGGCCTGTAAATCTTGGCACAATGGACTGTCCAGCCATGTGAACTTGGATCAGGGACTTCTTCCCGAGTCTCAGTCCCCTCATCTGCAGGGCATGGTGTGCAAGGGTGTTGTGCAGACCTCAGGGACTGCTGATGGTTAAATGCCTAGCACAGTGCCAGGCTCAGACTAGGGGCTTCCTTCTCCTGCCTCCCTCTGCCCTTTCTTTGCAAACTTCTCACGCTCACCATTCCTCCATGTCTGGGCATGAAGCGTCCATGCTTCCCACAGAACCTCCACTTTGGGGCCATCCCCTTTCCTTGTTGGCTCTGTGTGATGTGGTTTCCTCTGTATTCATTAGGATCCACTTTTTTTCATGCTTTTTCTGCCTTCACACAACTTTTGATCTTGCCCAAATCATTAATTCATCTTTTTCTTCTTTTCTCCCTTCTTACAGGCCTGCCCAGGCCCCTGCTATCTGCCATGCATCTGCTGTGCAGAGCTGCTCATGGCCGGCACTTGTTCCTACAGAGCACGACTTCTCCTCTAGAGAGGTTGCGTGGTCAATGACATCACAGGGGAGGAGAGCTGGATGGCAGGGGCAGCGCTGTGCGTCCTCAAAACCCTGTGTCATCTCTCTCCTTTCTGGAATGCTATGCTAGGCAGAATAGCATGCCCCAAAAGATGGTGTCTTAGTTCAGTCCGCTACAACAGAATATTATGGATTGTGTGGCTTAAACAGCAGATAGTAATGTCTCACAATTCTGGAGTCTGAAAGTCTGAGATCACGGTGCCAGGATGTTTGGGT